GGGGGGGGGGGGGGGGGGGGGGGAGACTCACAGGGTCAAAGGCCCAGAGTAGTCCAGAGAATGAGGAGCAAGAACTTGGGGACTTGGGAGGAGGGGGGCCACTGTTCACAGCATATCTGGTGGCTAGGGGGAGGGGAGGAAATAAAAGGGTGAACATAAACCTTTTCTTGGGAGAGTCAGTTATTAAAAACAGAAGAAAAACTGGCTCCTGGAGGAGAGGGGTCTCGGAGTTGAGGGGTTCTGAGGTGCATGTTTGGAGGCCATGAGGAAGCAGAGGAAAGAAGGAGATTGCAGCAGACTTCATCCATGTGTGACGTGTGCGTGTGCTTGGCTGTGACATGTGCTGCATGTCTTTCAAATCTAAATGGCCGTTCACACCTGGCTGAGGCTGATCAGCACACCCTGGTTGCAGAGAAAATGAAATCCAACAATAAAATAACTGTCACTTTGGGCTAAAGAAGTCATTATGGTTTTTCTTAGTTTATAAATAAGTGGAAATTAATTTAAAGGGGGAAAAGGAGAGATTATGTTTTAAAGTAGTTATCCCACAAGAGCAAGTTAGGCTGATGTTATTTGTGATTAAATAACAGCTTTCAGTATATTCAGGTAGTACTGCTGTACCTTACTATAATGAGAAAAGGATGCAATTTTCATTCCTCTCTTGTTCTTTTTAAAATTTCTGTTGCTTTCTGTTGCTTTTGCTGCTTGGATAATGAATCACTGGCTTGCCGTCATCCTAAGGATAAAGTTTAAAATCCTTAGGATGGTTTACCAAGCCCAACTTAACCTCTCTAGGTTTACCCCTTTCACCTCCAGGCTTTGGCTCAGGCTGTTCCCAGAGCCTGCACACTCCCCACTCCTCTACCTCTGCCATACAGAGCCAGGCTTGGCCATCTTCTGCAGGTCCTTCAGCCTCGAAGTCACTTCCTCTGATCTCTCCAACAACCTTTTCTAGGCTGCCATAGGACCTTCCTCTTCACCCAGTTATTACCCTTTATGGTAACTGCCATAGTTCCCTCTAGGCTGTGAGCTCCTTTGAGTCAGGAACCATCTGGAGCACCTATTCAGCACTAAACCCAGAGCAAAGCCCTAGCAACACAATGAACAAGACAGACCAGGCCTCAGCCTTTTTTTTAAAAAATATATTTTATTGATTTTTTACAGAGAGGAAGTGAGAGGGATAGAGAGTTAGAAACATTGATGAGAGAGAATCATCGATCAGCTGCCTCCTGCACACCCCCTACTGGGGATGTGCCTGCAACCAAGGTACATGCCCTTGACCAGAATCGAACCCGGGACCCTTCAGTCCCCAGGCCGACGCTCTATCCAGTGAGCCAAACCGGCTAGGGCAAGGCCTCTGCCTTTTATGTTGCTTAGAGCGTTGTGTTATGACTGTCCTACTGGCCAGGAGCTCCTTGAGAGCAGGGTCTGGACTGTTTCCTATTGT